TAAACTGTGGCAATAGTAGATTGTACTGCTTTTAGGTTTTATTTTTTTAATCATTTTATTGGGGGCTCATACAAGTCTTATCACAATCCATACATACAACAATTGTGTAAAGCACATTTGTACATCCGTTGCCCTCATCATTCTCAAAACATTTGCTCTCCACGTAAGCCCTTGGTATCAGCTCCTCATTTTTGTTTTTACACTTAACTAAGGACAGGCTTAGGATATGAACTCATGCCCTCAGAATTTTATAATATTCTAGTTAATAAGCAAGTAGTACAATAGAGTGGTTAAAACGATAAACTTGGAGTCAGGTCTATGATTCCATTTTGTTTCTATCAATAATAAACTACTGAATATAATAATAAACTACTTTGTCCAAATCACCCAAACTCGGTAACCCTTAACTTCTTCGTAAATAAATGGAGATTTAAAAAGTACAACCTAAGTGGGCTGTGAGGAGGATGGCGTGAGATAATAATACTTGCTATTGCTTAGCCTAGTGGCTGGCACATAATAATCATTATCTAGAATTGCATCCCCAAAGATGAAATCGGGTGGAGTGGCCACAGATTGGCTTAGACAAGTTCCAGAAGTTTGACTCCTTAACTACAACCAGATCGATCAGAGGAATGTGCTGTTGACCTCAGTCCACAGTCACACAATTACAGCGCATGCTCTGGCGCAAGCCCAATGCGAGTGTAATCTCTCCCCTGGCTTTCTTTGGCAAACACTGGCATCCAGACAGAATGACGGCCGTGCGCAAACGGCCCTGCTGCGGCTACCATTTCACGAGCACGAGAACAGCAGAGCTCTGAGAGATGAGTGTGAGGAACGGCCCTAAGAGCAGCCGCCCACTGCAAATATCCCCCGCAAACTCCCGTGCTGCCCCAGCCTGTGCTACCACGAGGTGTCGAAGGGATCAGGTGTCAAGCATCATCAGAACAAAAAATCTTACCATAGTGAATGATGGGGGGGGAGTGCGGAGTGGAGACCCAAAGCCCACGAGTAGGCCACTGGAGATCCCCTTGCAGAGGGGTCTCGGGGAGGAGATGAGCCAGTCAGGGTGCGATGTAACAATGATGAGAAATACAACTTTCCTCTAGTTCCTAAATGTTTCCTCCCCGCTCCCACTACCATGACTCGAATTCGACCTTGCAAGTCTGGCTAGACCAGAGGAGGTACACCGGTACAGATAGGAACTGGAAATACAGGGAATCCAGGGCAGATGAGCCCTTCAGGACCAGTGGTGTGAGTGGCGATACTGGGAGGGTAGAGGGAGAGTGGGTTGGAAAGAGGGAACTGATTACAAGGAACTATATGTGACCTCCTCCCTGGGGGACGGACAACAGAAAAGTGGGTGAAGGGAGACGTCGGACAGGGCAAGATATGACAAAATAACAATTCATAAATTATCAAGGACTCATGGGGGAGGGAGGAGCAGGGAGGGAGGGGAAAAATGAGGACCTAATGCCAGAGGTTTAAGTGGAAAGGAAATGTTTTGAGAATAATGAGGGCAATGAATGTACGAATGTGCTTTACACAATTGATGTAAGTATGGATTGTGATAAGAGTTGTATGAGCCCCTAATAAAATGATTTTTAAAAACTCCCATGCTCTGGAGGGCAAAATATCTGCTTGGTACAAAAAGCTAGAAAAACCATTTCCTTACAAATAAACTGCTACCAGAGATCAATGGTCTAGAAATAGTCCTCCGACACACTAACAGACCCCTGAAGATAGACAGTAGGCAACTTTTCAGTTAAGTCATGTGAATAGCTGTTAGGCGGGAGATGTATTTTCATTGATACAAATTGAACATCATTAAAGCATAGTAATTCATCACAAAAACAATATGTCACTATATATTGTGAAATATGTATTTCTAATGACAAATAAATGAAATTTGTCTTTAAGCATGGTGTAGCTTGGGTCACAGTCTTCATGCCCGGTACTCGTATGGGGGCGTATCTGCATGTGGGCAGACTCGCGTGGAGACGGATAGAGGAGCGGTGTCTCGGTTCCTAAGACCATCGGAACTATGTGTTTTCTGATGGTCTTAAGTGACCCCTGTGAAAGGGTCGTTCAGCCCCCGAAGGGGTCGCGACCCACAGGTTGAGAACCGCTGAGTTAAGAGATGACTATAAGGCACATGCCCCTCCAGGCGAAACTTGGAGACTGCTTGACAGTCAACAGGTTTTAGTTTTCCAAACACAATACAAAACAGTACAACATATGCACATCTTTGAAAACTCACAGTGGTTCCAAAAATTACACAAACGCACACATTTCATTACGGAAGCGTGACTGACCGCAGAATACTCTTCTTGAGGTCATTTCTGAGCCACTCTATCCGTTCTAGACACACTGCATCGATATGCCTCCCTCCCTCTGGAATGTTAGCAACCCTGAAAGAATCTTCCTCCTTGGAGGGCGCGGGGGACTTCTCATGCAGTTGGATAGAGTAAACCTTCTCTATAAATTATAGGAAATCAATGAAGTTAAAAATTTTTGCAAATGTAATGGTTGCTTTCCTTGCCTAATTTGCACACAATAATCTCACTGCTCTGTAAAAGGCGCTGCTTCAATATTGTACGGAGACAAAGATTAAGCAGACACAACCCCAGACTGTTACATGTCTGCTGTTACAGAAGAGATAAAGCTTGGCTAGAAAACACAGAACCTTTGTTCTTGCGGTGTAACAATAATAGTTCTAATACCATCCCAAGGCCAGCCACTCCTAGAGCCCCCATGTGACAGAGCAGCACTGCCCCGCAGGGTTTCCTGGGTCTCATCTGTACAGTGGACAGTGGGTGGCCAGACCGCTCTCCCAGAGAGGAGCTGGTGCGTCCAAAATGCCAACTTTGTGGTTAGCAGCTGAGAGCTCTAACCTCAGTGGCACCAGGGCACCTTCATAATTATAATAATTGATTAACCTCTTACTCCAGGCTAGGCATTTTACACACATTCATGTTTCACATTGTTCCTATAAAGTCATTATTACTCTCATTCTACATAGATGCAAGTTGAGTCTTACTCGGCTTAAGCAATTTTTACAAGGTCATAGTT